GAGGGTGGGATTGGGAGGGGAGGAGGGAGGGGCTTATGGGGGGGATACAAAATGAATAAAGTGTAATTAATAAAAAATTAAAAGAAAAAAAAACTTTCTTCAGGAATAATGTCAGAAGCATACAGGTGCACTCTTCACTTCCTGGATATTTCTCTTCCTCCAGCGGGTGCTTCTCAGACACTGAGGACAGCCGTGGTATTTTTATGCTCAGAGCAGAGAGGCTTGTTTGGCCCTTTCTTCTCTACAAGTCCCTTTCCCCTGTTTATGTCTTTTTGTTTGGTTTTGTGACGTGCTGTTTTTAATCAGAGCCACCTGTGTGGCCATGGGTTTGGGCATACTCACTGGAGCCTGGCAGACTCCTCCATGTGTACACAGCTGAAAACAACAACTGCCTCTCCCCCCGGAATCCAAGAGGGATCGTGATCGCGAGGGCCAGAGCATGGCCAGAAGATCGCACTTCACAGACCTTCTCCCTGTCTGCTGCCCCTTCCATTCTTTCCAGCCCCTCTTCTGTAACCCTCCCTGGATCCCAAATGTCCAGCTTAGAGCTGACCATTCAGCTGTGAGAACCTAGAACAGCTACGAGTCTCTGTTCACTGCCAAAAGACACTCGTGTGGTTGGGGGTTCGAGAAGCATTTTAGACCCGCAAGTTCTTGATATAGACCCATATATTCAGTTACTGTTTGAAAGGAAATTCATAACATCAACCATACATTTAAAATGATGTTCAATGATATTATTTTTCCGCATCTATGACAAACTGTTTGGGATGGTAACTTTTGCTTTTCTGCTAAAATAGTAAGAAAATTTTTTGAACCAATATAATATACATGAATAGTAAATTCAATAAATAACACACACACACACACACACACACACACACACACACACACACCACTGTGCAGTTTCAGAAGAATGCTGCATGTCCTGAGGAGGCTGTGTGATTTTCACTGTGTAAGAAATGGTACTCTGGGGATTGAGTTACCAGCTCTGACATCTGCTCACTGGTGACTGAAGGCCAGCTATTTATGCTTTTTTTTTTTTCTTTTCATTTCGATTTTTCATGTCAAAAATGGGAAGTAATAATAAAGGCACAGCGTTCTTGAGAGGGTTACATAAGGTAAAACAACTTGATCTTTAGTATTTGCCACGTAAAATGGTTCTCACACATCAGCAAACCAACAATGCAGAAAATACATTGAGGCTAAAAGAAGAGGATGCTATTCATGATAGACTAAAAAGTCTTGACACAGGTGCTCAAAGGTCACTTACAATTTTTTTTTGTCTCTATCAATCTGAAATGGAATGAAATATTTTTCTTTTTGTGCTGTTTTACAGGCACACTTACATATTTTATGCTTATTGTTTTTTAAATTAAAATATAATTTCATTATTATCCCCTTTCCTCCCTCCACCCTCTCCTATGTCCCACCTTGCTCCCTCTCAAAATCATTGCTTCTTTATTCTTTATTTTCTGTACATATATCCATGCGTGTATGTGTGTGCATGCACACATATGCCTAAATATATAAGAGCAACCTGTAATTTCCTTTAGTGTTACTTGTATGCCTGTGATTTGAGCAATGATCTGCTGACCTGCTGATACTGGATTATCAATTGCAGGTCTCATCCCTGGAGAGGGCTATTTTTCTTGTTCTCAGCATTTCTTGATTGCCTGTAATTCTATGTCTGGAGGTGGATCCCATGAGATTTCCCTCTCCTGTGCTAGGTTGTCTATTGGTGGTATGCTTTTTGCAGTCTAGTTTAGGCAGCCACGTTGTTGAGGGATCATGGGTGAAGCTTCGCTGTCATTTGGAGGAGACAGTATCTCACAGCACTTTCGTGGTCCTCTGGCTATTGCCTTCTTTTTGTCCCTTCTTCTGTGATGTTCTCTAAGCTTTAGATGCAGAAGTTGTATTATAGATTCATCACTTCTGGCTAGGCATCCCACAAACCACTCTTTCTCTGTATTTTGGTCAGTTGTACCTTCTGTAATGATGTCCATCTGCTGCAAAAAGAAGCTTCTTTGATGAGGGGTGAGAGCTATGTGGGCATAATGACAGATATCTAGAATACAGTTAGGGATTGTGAAGTTTAGTAACATGGTAGTAGGAGAGCCATGACTTCAATAGCCCCAGGAGACTGGCTAGGTTTCCAGTAGGAGGCGTGGGTTTTCCTCCTGTTGAGTGGACCTTAAATCCGATTAGAGAGCTGTTGGTTACCACTGAGACATGGGTGACACTATTGCTCCTTTAAGGAACCACTCTAATCATTATTTGGTGCATAGATGTTACAGCCGTGTGCAACTTCATTGTTTTCCTCCCTTAGAACTTGCATAGCTAGTCGTCAAAGAGGAGGCTTTTGGGTGGGAACCACTCAGATCCTCCACATCCCATGTTTGAAGTTTATTGTGTCTTCAGCAACAGGGTCTTGCTTTCAAGCTCCGGGAGGCAACCAAGGGCAACAGCAAAAGCCTATATTGGTTTGGGAGTCTCTTGGACAAGTCTGACCAACAAGTTCGAAAAGAGTTTCTTATGCTTGGTACTGAGATCTTTCTTAGATAGTTTAAGGCTTTTACAGGTGAGTATTGCCAGCACAAGTGGGATAATTTCATTTGAACTATTTATGTACGCATAAATATAAATATATGTTTAAATATATGTGTAAATATACATATTTGTATAGACATGTGTATATATAGATTTATAGCTATTGTATGTAATTTGGGTGAACAAATAATAATGTGATTCCTTTTGGCTTTTTTAGACCTCCTTAATGTTATTCTACCCTCCTCCCTCCCTTCCCTTCTGTGTTGAACTCTATCTCCCCAACCAGTTAACACTCATCTTACTCATTTCCTTCTTCAAATCACATATATCTTTCTATTTCCCTGTTTATTGGTCCCTTATTCTTTCGCTCTTTCTGAAGTCACCTAGGTTATATACTCACACCTGAAGATTTGGAGCTAGGAACTGCAGATGAGAGAGAACTTGTAATGTTTGTTTATCTGAGTATGGGCTACTTCACTGAATATAGTATTTTTTAATTCCATCTATGTACTGGCAAATTTCATTATTTCATTTTTCTCATAAAATTATTTCATAGTTCTGGTGACTCATACTTGTAACCCCAGCTCTTGAAAGGCTAAGGCAGTAATATCACCATGAGTTCAAGGCATCTTGACATTCCTAGTGAGTTCTAGCTTGGCTTGGACTACATAGTGAAGCCCCATCTTAAAATACGTTTGCATCTTTAAATATATGAAAAATAAAACATATGGAATAAACTACATTAATGTATATATTGAGAAAGGATATCAAATATCTAAAATACATAAGGAACTTAATCAATGATATCATTAAAAAAATTACAGAAAAAATGATAAAAAATGGACTAAGGGCTTGAATTGACATTTTTCAATTTAAGACCTAGAAATAGCCAAAAGTAACAAGAAAGGCTGTTCAATATTGATTGTGGGAAATTCAGTTAAAATCATAGTGACAAACACTTCATATATGTTGAAAGAGTATTTATTAAAAAACACTTCAAAATACCACTGAATATTTAGAGAAAGAAAAGTATATATTCTTGGTAGAATATACTCTATTTTCCCACAAACAAACAAAAAAATCTGACATGATTTATTTGCAAACCCATGTCTTGGTGTATATGCACTGGGAATGAAATCAGTATCTCTGATTCAAGAGTTATTGGCATTCTCAGGTTAATTAACATGGTGTTTGCGGTAGCCAATATATGGCAACAGCTTTTGTATCTATGGATAGAATGGATAAAGAAAACAGGGGACATGCGTCCGTGCACATGCACACACACAGTAGGACAGCATTCAGCTTTAAGAACTCAAGCAAATCGAGTCAACATGGATAATACTGGATAAACTGCATGCTCTGTGAAATCAGCCAGGCTCAGAATGGCAAGGTCTCACTGACATGCAGACTCTGAAAGGATCACCTCCTACGCTGGACAGTAGAATGGTAGACTGACAGGAACCAGGGACCAGACAGTGGGGACCAGACGGATGATTTGTCACTTGTATGGATGAACGAATGATCATGTCTGGAGGACAGTGTGACGACTCAACCGTGCTTTGTTCTGTGTAGTGGAAATTCACTAGGATTGTTCGCCCTCACCACAGAAGGGTGTGAAAGACATTTTATGATGGAAATGTCCGTGAGTGCATCACATTGCATGCCTTAAACATAAACATCTTTTAATAAAAGGCTATCGAAATGTATCTGGAAAGGGGGAGGTAAGAAAACTTGAAATCATGCCCATGCTCAAACTCTGTTGGGACTAGAATGGTGTTGATTCGCTGGCTGTGGTTAATAGTGAGCTCTGTGGAGTCACTGTTTAGTCATGAGCCCCGTGGGTTCACTATGTTTATGCATGAACCCTGTAAATTCACTATGGTTCATCAGGAAACCTATGGATTCACTGACTCTGTTTGGTAGTGAGCCGTGGACTCCCTGTATTTAGTAATGAGCCCTGTGGATTCTCTATGTTTAATAGTGAGTCCCATGGTTTCACTGACTCTGTTTAGTAGTGAACCTTAGGACAGAGTTACCGGTGCTGAAGAAGTTAGTTCTGTATACAAGGAACGTCTAAAACTAATTTTTATAATAGCACTCCCTTCTGCCTAATGATGAGTTTTTCAGATTTTCCATTTAATGTAACTGGGTGCAAGCTAAAATAATGGCTTTTCTTGTTGGAAGCTTGTGAATGAATGATGTGCAGCACAGTGTGTTGTATTCTGTGGGGCCTTTCCCCAAGATAACTAATGGGCCTGGTTCTTTTCCTAACTCCCTCCCCCTTTGCTAATCACTCTCCAGACAAAGCCCCCCCTCCCCTGCAGAATACATTTCTTTTCTTCAAATACTGATTTGCAATGTGACATATTTTTTAACAAATGAGTCCTAAATGATGATCGTGCCTGTTCAAAGATACTTTGACTATTTACCCAGCATTTGCCTTATATCAGAGAACCGTCTGGGACGGAGCTGACCCACGGACCGGAAGGCCAGCACTGGCTGGGGCTGCATTCCGGCGGGGAGAATCTCAATGGGACCACCTTGCAGGAGCTGCTGGTGCCCAGGTAAGAACGACGACCGCACAGCGCACAGCAGCACGTGTGCGCACCTTGGGGGGCAAGGGCTGATCATGGGCTGATCTGTTTTTAATATGAAAACGCTCAGGTTTGCCACACCAGTGAATAACTTCCACAGAACGCCTGTTAATCTCTACATTTCAACAGTAGCATCCTCTTGATAGACAGGATTAGTTTTTATTTTGACAAATCTCATTTATCAGATTCAGTCACAACCACAGGAAATATTATGTTAGGAAAAAGACTCAAGAGCTAATCTCTTGTCTCTTAAATGTCTTGTTTTGAGACGAACCCTCATATCTGCAGTTCCTACAAATATTACCTAGGACTAGTTAACAGGGGACTAGTTAAGTAAAGGTACTGAAAAGTCAGAGTGTAAGAAAATAATGAACACAAAGTAAAACCAAAGGCCGGTAACTCTGAAAGTCTTCTCTTCTTAAATGATGACAGAGTGAACAGGTCTCTCTCCTTGATGGATGGGCTAGAAGAGGATAGTGAGTGAAAAAAATGCATTCTCTTTTCATGGATTTGTTTTCATCTATGCCTCTGGGAGTGTGTTAAGTATATGAGCAAGGGTGAAGGTGCTGTCTCATAAGGCCAGAGGGTGTCGGGTTCCCAGAATTCTGAGTGACGGGCCTCCTGCTGTAAATTCTGAGTGTAGAATGCAGGCCCTCAACAAGAGTATTACATGCTCTTAGCTGCTGGGCCACCTCTCCAGCCTCCTCCTTTTAAAGGATATATGTGTTGTGTGTGTGTGTGTGTGTGTGTGTTTTAATAAGAGCATTTTTGTGGTCCTGAGACTCAAAGCGAAGGCTTCATACATGCTAGGCAAGCACTCTACAACTGAGCTGTATTCCCAGCCCAGGGAATGAAAATTTCCCCAAGTTTTTATTGACTCTTCGTGAGTTTCACATCATGAGCCTCAGACCCGCTCATCTCTCCATCTCCTCGTATCCGCCCTCCGCCCTTGCAACCTCCCCACCAAAAGACAATGAAAAGCAAGCAAACCAAACTAAACTAATAAACAAAACAAGGCATAGAAAACATCTCGTCAAGGTAGTGTGTTGCCGTGTGTCCATAGCATGCCCGTCTGTCCACATCTTCACTTGCAGCGGTTCATTGCAGTGTGTCATTAGCCTGGTTCTCTTCCTCTGGTTTCTACGATATCATCAATATTGGATCCTCACTGGACTCCTCCTGGTTGTCCTGCTGTTTCCCTGACTCATGGAGATCCTGCAGCTTTGGTTCAGCAGACTGGCCCTGTCACATACTCCAAGAGTTCACAGATGATATAGTTTTGGATGGGCCAACTCAAAAGCCCTGGGTCTGGGCCTGCGTGGTAGCTGAGCTGGCTCTTCCTCATCCACACCACCAGGGTGAGCTCTCCAGTACTGCGCTGGCTAGCCTGCCCAATGCTGCCACCGGCAGGGGCAGGGGCAGCTTTCCCACTCTCATGCCCTTGGGGCTGGCTCACCTGCACCAGAGCCAGCTCCACTGTGTTGCCCAGGCGAGGTGCAGGGCCTGCTCTCCCAAATGCTGCAGCTGGTGAGGGACAGGCCCTGCTCTCATGACCTCAGGGCCAACATCCGGAAGGCATCACCTCCATACCTATGCCATCTTATGGCAGAAGAGTGGCATGGTCAGCTCTCCCCTGCTCATGCCCTCAAGGTTGGCTCCCCTGCATCCCTGCTAGCAGGGCCAGCTCCACTGTGCTGCCCAGGCGAGGTGCAGGGCCCGCTCTCCCAAGTGCTGCCGCTGGTGAGGGGTTGGGCCATCTCTCCCAAGTACCAGAGCCAATGAGGGGTGGGGGCCGTTCTGCACAGCCCCTGGACATCTATACGGTCCCAGGTGGCTTCCCAGATCACAGACATCCCCGTGGTCTCTAGTGGCAATATAGACAGCAGCACTGAGCCCTGTCATTACACAGCCACGGACTCAGACATGGCCCTCAGCTGCAGGGAGGCTGGGACTCCACCAGGGCTCAGCTAGTGGGGCTGGCTACCCATAACAGACTATTCCTCTCCTTCCTCGTGTCTCCAGTTCCATCTCTCTTCACAATACTCAAACTGTCCTGCTTCTCCTTCTCTCCCATCCATCCACCACATACTTATACATTTTAGCGGCTCCTGCTGCGGGTGGGCCACTCAGCTGGTGGGCCTATGGATGTCCTCCGCTGTCCATGCTGCACGGCACGGCGGCTCGCAGACCTCTGTGTGTGGCGGGAAGGTCTCTGTATGTCTTTCCCCTCCCATGACGCATGGGCCTCTGTGTGTCCTCTGCTGGCCAAGCCACATGGGCCTCTGTCCTCTGTGAGTGTCTACACACAGCAGGCAAGTCTCTGCAGGAAAGAATTCTTTGTTTGTTTGTTTGTTTTGTTTTTTCGAGACAGATTTCTCTGTGTAGCCTTGGCTGTCCTGGACTCACTTTGCAGACGAGGCCGGCCTCAAATTTAGAGAGATCTACCTGCCTCTGCCTCCCCATAAACTGGGATTACAGGCGTGTGCCATCGCAACAGGCAGGAAAGGATTCTTATTAGACGCTTATTACATTACAGGTATTAGCCACATTGTCTTGTATAGATTGACCCATCGATCCTTTACAATAAACTCCTGAATTATAATTATCTTATTCTAACAGCTGAAGAAGCTAAGGGTTAGATTTAAGACTATTTAAACAACCATCTCTAATGCCACAGCCTACAGATGGTAAGTAATGGTAAACTCAAGCTAAATTTATCTGACTCCAAAATTTAAGGTAGATCATGTCTTAAGAACTACAAAGAGGAAAAGAAAAGGTGACTCTTCACCCCCCAGAAATCCTCCACTATCAGTGGACTGGTGAACGGGCACTGGGGAAGATGGGGAGTGAGGGTTGGATTGGGAGTGGACAAGGGTGAGGCTATAGCTGTGAAACAAAGTGAATAAATTGTAATAAATAAAAAATTATATTAAAAAATCACAAAGTATTGCACACTGGTAAAAACGTTAAATTAAAATTTTTAAATAAAATAATTTTAAAAAAAAGAAAATCTCAAGATTTCATTACTGCTCAAACTCAGTCCTCAAATTTCTGAATACTCTGTCAAATGACATACTTTCTCTAAGCCAGTGACCCAAACCTTTCAATACAACGATGTTCCTCTAAGCTGGGTATGGAGAAAGCCCTTTAGGTCAAATAAATGAATAAATAATCATTCCACTTTGGAGATTTGTAAGCATGGCTCACTAACTAAATAAGATATTGTGTAACAAGTTTGCTACAAAGAGTGGGGTGGGCAATCCTTACGAGTCTCTACCCCAAAGCCATAATTTCAAAAATGTGATAATTAGATTCACAACTAATTTTTGAATGTCATTTTCATACCAGGCCCAGGGCTAGTCTCAAAAGGGGTATGGAAGTAAAGGAAAGAAAGATTTGATGCCAAGGAACTTAGATCATTTGAATACATTCAGAGATTAGAAGGCAGCACAAAACATAATTTCAGATCTCAAGGCTACTTAGGCTTAGATATACAGCTCAGTTGATAAAGTGCCTGCTGTCTAAGCATGAAGACCCAAGTCATTTGAGTAAGTTCAAGCCCACTTTCTCCTGTCATCAATTCCTGTGTTCACAGTTTAACCTTGACAGTTTGGACAGGATTTTTTTTTTCTAGTCTAAGTGCCCTATTCCTTTATCTTCTATATAAAACTTTAAAGGAATATCTTATTTCCCTCCGTCTATAGCTCAAGGTTTGTTCGGCAGGGTACATCTCTGACCTGCTCATCCCTCACCATAGATTCTGAGTATTAACTAAGATGATGTAAGAAGCTTCAGGATAAGAACTTCTCTTTCCGCAAAACTGAAACAAGTAGTGTGTGTGCTCCCAGTGTGGGCTCTGAGCACGCCGTGCCCTGAGAAGTCTTGCAGTAAGACAGTTGTGCTCAGAGAATATGGACTCCCCTGACAGTAGACCCTGTGTTGCTTGACTTTGATAACATGCTTCAGATAAACAGTAAGCATGGAACTTAACGTTCTAACATTTTATGTTTCCCAACCTAGGCAGTCCTGCCCAAGCAGAAGTAAGATTTCCCTTCTGTGTACTAAGCAAGGTGAGACTGGTGGTGTATCATGGGATATGGCATTTTACTGTGCTGGCTCCTGGGAGACAGGATCACTGATACATGACAACCAGAGCTCAGCATCTATTTGGGTTTGGTGATGAATCATGGACTATGACTTCTGCTCCTTGCTAGACTGTGGTCGACGCCCTGCTGCCCGAATGAACAAGAGGATCCTTGGAGGTCGGACTAGTCGTCCTGGGAGGTGGCCATGGCAGTGCTCTTTGCAGAGTGAGCCCAGTGGACATATCTGTGGCTGTGTCCTCATTGCCAAGAAGTGGGTTCTGACAGTTGCCCACTGCTTTGAGGGGTAAGCGGCACACTTTCATTTTACTTCTCTCCGGGTATTCCCATTTGTTGCCTGGGAATTCTCAGTGGTGTATGGAACTTTTTGGAGTCGTTTCAACACAAATATCACAGACATTCTATTTCCCACAAATTCTCTGTGGAACTCTCTCTAGCCTTTCTCATCTTCCACTCACTGATGTGGCCAATAACTACACTAGGTGACTAGGACGTATAGAGGGAGGAAAGTGAAGACGTTCAGAAGACTGATTTCTCAACCACCGCAGTTCAGCCTCTGTTCTGGACATCTTATGAATATATATGGAAATTATTTGTTTGGAAGCTCCATGAGTCTCAAATGAGCAACTAGCTTGTAGTTTGGTAGGTAGAACTAAAGGTACAATGTTTGTGTTAGGTTTCTCAAAACTCCAGAACCAAGTCTTTGTCCTAACAATAGGTTACCCACAGATTTGCATGTGCAGGAAGTGAGATAGTCTATTTAAAGCCTTAGGAACCATGCTTGGCAGCAACTAGCAAGACTGATGAAAGTGTACATCTCTTAAAAAAATATTTCTGCAAGCATGCCTTGTGCATTTCCCCCTGGCATTACGGTCTGAGTATACTCCCATTTTGCCAGCATTATTCATTCCTTCCCACCCTTCCTCTTGCCCTTCCTCTTGCTTCCTTATCATCCTGAAGGTAACCCCTGTTACGGCCCAAAGAACATTTCTCCATGGCTCTAAGCACATCCAGTTATGCACATGGTGTCACTCTTGATTTTTACAATTTAAAATCACACTTTGTACACCATTAATGCCTTTCACTTTTAGCAATATAGCATGGGCATCCCTCTAGGTCAGTTCTTGTAGCACTAATACATTATTTTTGGAAGCTGAGTACTATCTGTATAGACTTGCCATGAATTTTTCTACTGGTCTTCAGTTGATGAACATTTGAGATAGTTTCAACTTGCTGTTATTATAACAATACTAGGGAAGAAAGCCCTTCTCTAGTCTCCTATGGGTGCTACTGCTTCTAAAGAAGGCTGAGAACACACTCAGTTCCATGTGGGATTATGGACATGGACAGGTTTGCTCCTTGGGAAGTTTAGTAGGGAGACAGATCTTTTTTTTTTTTAGTATTTCTTTAATTTTTTTTGCGATTATAATATAGTTACATCATTTTCCCTCCCTTTTCTCTTTCTAGATGCACTCATGTACCACCTGTGCTCTCTTGAATTCATGGCTTTTTTTCCTTTAGTTGTCATCATACTTACAGATGTATAGTCCTAAATATATAAATACAATTCGCTCAGTCTGCAATGCTGCTTGTGTTTATTGTTTTCAGTGCTGACAGTTTAATATTGCATAACCAGGTGGTGTGCTCTTCCCCGGGTGAGAAGATTTCTCCCACTCACTGCATTCCTTAGTTGCCCAGAGTTTCCTGTTTAGGACTGAGGTCTCCTGAGCTTCTCCCACTCTCATCCATGGCAGCACGTTTATTAGGGTTGTCAGTATTCAGGTCATGTGTAGTCAGCCATATTAGTGAATCTCCATCGGTGTTACTTCTCTCACATTTCTGGGAGGCACAATCTCATACAAAACACCCTGGCCCTCTGGCTCTTACAATCTTTCTGGCCCCTCTTCTGCAGTGATCCCTGAACCTCAGGTGAATGAGTTGTGTTGTAGATGTACCTATCAGTTGAGAGTGGGTCCCACATCTCTACTTTGGTTGGTTGAAGTTTTCTATAATGGACCCTGTCTGTTGCGAAGGGATGTTTCCTTCATATGTTGTAAGAAATAAACTTATTGAGAATGTAGTTAGGGATTATGCTGGTACAGAAAAGTGGTGGTTGTAAGTTTTCCTACCCATGACTTCACTAGTCCTAGCTAGTCGGCTAGGTTTCCAGGACCAGGAATAATTTTCTTCTTGTTGGATGGGTCTTAGGACCAACTAGACAGCTGTTGAGTGCTGCTACAGTGTGTGTTCTACTACTTCACCTTGGAGTTATTGTCCCACACTGGTTATTGTTGTGGGGCACAGGTGGGTAGCACTGTTGATTGCTTCTCTTCCTTAGTAGCTTGCATGTCACTTTCTGATACTTTAAACACTATTCTTTCAGGTCAGATCTAGCTCGGAGGCCTCTGGGTGTGTCTGAAGGGCATGGTCCTCCACCTCGAGGGGTTACCAAGAGCAATAGCAATAGATTATGATGTTTGGGGAGCCTCTTGACAATCCCAACCAACAAAGGGGACAGACATTTAAACATGTATTCAAATATGTAGCAAATGATGATAAATTAAAAACATGATAAAACTTGATCTCTACTGGGGGAAAATAGTATGAAAATATCAACCAACACCTTCTGTTGGGAATTTTCGTATGTGAGAGCCAGAATGGTTGGAAGGGTCTCTAGAGTTTGTCTAAAATCACACTGAGATGTTCTCGGGACCAGATGTTTCCAGGTGTCTTTCTCAGTTCTGATTTGTAGCCCGCACTAAGCAGAAGATTATGCTGGCAAAGCAGATTCATCAAAAGTGATCACCTAAATAAACCCACAGCTCTTTAAGGGACTGACACTCCCAATGTGCTCATTAATTCAAATTTATGGGCTGCTCTTGTCACATGTGGTATCAACGTTTTCTCTTGCACTGGGGTACCTATACAGTAAGGAAGGGGGCTTGTAAGAAGGAATAAGTATGTTTTTCTAATTCATGACATAGAAATGGTACCAAAGACCTTGAAGAAATTTTGTAGAATCCAAAATTTAACAGTGGTGTCAAGAGGACCCTGCTCATCCATTACGAGGTTAGAAATTGCCTAACTTCAAACAAGTCCTTGTTTGACTGTGTACCCAGGACCTAATTTTGTTTTATGGTCTCACCAGTGGCACTGCAGGCTTTTCAGAACTTTTAATTGTAAGTCATCTTCTCTGCTGGGGCCATCAATTGCTGCAATTATTGGGATTTACTTCATACCCTGATTCTATCCTTTGGCAAGGCATAACATGATCCATCTGTGACCTTTTCATCCTGTCTCTCTTAATTAGATTGGTGGGAAAGAAAAGACAATTTGTTTTGTATTTCCACGGAGGAGTATTTAAAAACACCAAATAAAAATCAAAACCATGAGATACTAAGTTGACCAGCTAGAGCTCCACATTCCCCTATACCAATTCAGCTTCAGAGGTTCTAAGGAGGAAAAGGCTTTGACATGCAGTGGTAATGTAACAGGCAAATTCCCTCCCTTCCTTCACGCTTGAAGGACTGAAGGATGAACTTCTTGGACCAGCCCACAGTGAGTAATGATCAAAGCTTTTAATTCCCTTCCAGAAAGCTTGCATGGAAAGCTGTCATCCTGACCACAACCTTTAACCCCATCGTGTCACCAGTGTCTTGATTTTTACAGCACCAGGTGGTCCAGAATTTTGGCTGTGTGCCTGCATTTCTGCCCGAATTACCTAGCTTCCTTTCCCTCCCCCCAACTTTTACAGTCCTTTAGGTGCATCACAGCTGTTCTTTGACCTTCCAACGATCTCATCCCTGGACCTTTCTGTCAGGTGAAGCAAGAATACCTCCAAGGTGAAGAGCACATTTTGTAATCTTTTTCTTTATATCCTTAAGAACAGACAGGACATTCATTACTCAGAAATAGATATAGATATAGATAGATAGATAGATAGATAGATAGATAGATAGATAGATAGATAGAGGAGGCTCCTGGGAGGATATGTGGGTGACTCTAGCTGAGACTCCTAGCAGCGATGGACATGAATAGCAAAATGCCCACTTCCTAGCCAGGCTGGACTTTCAATGGAGGGAAGGGGTACCAACCCACCCACATGCTTTTGATCTAAAATTCACCCTGCCTACAAGATGTGCAGGGATAAAGATGGAGCAGAGATTGAGAGAATGGCCAATCAATGACTGACACAACCTGAGACATACCCCATAGGTGAGAGCCAACCACTAACTATTAATGATATTGTCTTAGGCTTGCAAACAGAAGTCTACCATAGTTATCCTCTGAGAAATTCCATCCTGCAGAAAATTGAAATAGGTGCTTAGACCCACAGTGAAACATTAGGCAGAGCTTGGGGAACCTTGTGTAAGAGTCAAGGGGGAAGGATAGAAGGATCCAGAAGGGACAGGAACTCCACAAGAAGACCAAGAGAGTCAATTAACCTAGGCCCATGGGGGCTTACAGAGACTAAAGCACCAACCAAAGAGCAGGCATGCACTGGACCTAGGCCCTGACACATATGTAACTTATGGGCAGCTTGATCTTCATATGGGTTCCCTAGCAAGTGGAACAGGACTTATCTTTGACACAGACTCTGCTACCTGCTTTTCCCTAGCTGGGCTGCCTTATCTGGTCTCAGTAGAAGAGTATGCACTTAGTCCTGATGTGACTGGCATGTGCTGGCATGAGTTGGTATGGTGGGAGGTCCACTTTTCTGAGGAGAACGGGAAGAGGGAAGGAGAGGAGAAGGTGGGAAGATGGGGCCAGAAGGAGAGGAGGGAAGGGGGCTACATTTGGCACGTAAATGAATAAATAAAATAACAAAAATTGATAAGAAAGAAAGAAAGAAAGAAAGAAAGAAAGAAAGAAAGAAAGAAAGAAAGAAAGATTTATGCCATGTCTGACTTTCAACATCAATTGGATCTTTAATAATCTCTGAGAATCTTTCCATCTAAATTGGGAAAGCTCCTTCTCTTATTTGTCCCAGAACAAATCATGCCCTTAATGTCTCAACCCCTCCCCCGATCTGACTACTTTATAATTCACTCAGAAAGCGAATTACTGAGGGCTGTGTTGTGTCCTTAGGATTAGCCCTTCTTGGTGCTTATGAACTAGGTCAGTCATTCACAATTTATTTTTCCATTTCACCTTTTGGCAGGATTTGATACATTCTCATCAGTAAAAGTGTTCATGAACACAAAAATTCTCTGCTTTGGACCCATACCTCCTCTGTGGTACCATTGAAGAGTAGGCAAACGTGGTTTTAAAAACTTTCAGTTGACC